ATGCAGCCATGCCTTAAAATTAATTACTATAAAATTAATGTGACATCAGCTTCCATCTCGATTTAAAGTTATTGAATATGGCCACCGTAATTGACCCTGTAAAAAACAAACTCGTATGTACTATATAAAGCCATTTTCTGGACTACATCATACTCCTTGCCCTTAATGAAAGCCTGGGTCTGCTTCCTTAGCCGAGGACATACACAATGTGTATGACGTGGCCTCAAGAAAACTAATAAATGGGTTTTTAGATAAGGGAATGACTGCGATGGATTGATAAAATATAACACGACCAAGCAATCTGCTGGAGCTGGCGGTGCAATTAATTTGTTGCAAGTGATATTACATTAATTTTTTTTTTTTTTTTTGGTATCAAGAAGTCATCGGTAACCCTTAACAAGTCAAGTTGGGTTTAACAAATGAGAGATAGAAGCAAGAACATGACAAAGCACACAGGCTGCTCCTTCCAAAATAATCACAATTTATTAAACCCCAAAAAACTACGATCCTCTCCTCTCCTGTCCTCTCCTCTGTGCAAAAAAGAATAACATTGAGCACAAGTATATATATGTGGACCGCTGGAAGGGTGACGCAACTTAGACCACGCCGCACAGCTAAAGGACCACCACCTCTTTAATTTGTTCTCAACAAATATACACATACATAACCAGCTTAGATAGAAGAAAGAAATACTTTTAAAGACTGGAAACTTGGTTCTCTTCCCCTGGTCCTGAGCCCTAGTCTTCGTCTTTGTTTGTTTGCAAAATATGCTAGGAGCCACTCCCCCCCCCCCCCCCCCCAAACACGCTTCAAGAGCCAAAACCCTATCTCCCCTCCTCCTCTCTAGAAAAAAAAAAAAAAAATTCTCCAACTAAAATTTCCTTCAACTCTCCCATGGAAGAGAGATTAGATTTTTCTGATCTTTTACTATAAGAGGAGCCCTCTCAATAATTTCTTTTTGTTTGTGTGAATAAAATCTCTCTTAAAATTTTCTAGTAAGAGTTTCTTCTCTCCTCAGAGTTGTCTAATAAGAGTGTTTTCTTCTCCCATGCATGTGTGGTGCAAGTCCTCAGAAGCCGGTAACTATACCTACTGTTCGGGAAAAAACCGAGCTTTTTTCGTCAACCAAAACAAATAAAGATTTGTTAAGAATGAATGAATGAATGACTAATTGCAACGCGTAGTTGTTGATTTTTTATTTATTTTTTTTTTAAAGTAGTTGGAAGTGAAAGAGTGCATAATTAAATTGCCAATGATTACGATACCTTTGCTATACTCTACTTACTGTCAAAATCATAAATAAAATTGCTTAACATATTCCATGGGAATTAAAATAATAGTGACAGAATTAATGATATTAGTCAAGTTCAACCACTTTAGACACCTACACACGAGTCAAGCAATCAGAAGCTTCGAATGTCAACAATTATAAACAACGCCAACAATCGCTGTCATTTCCAACATAAAATAACACGCTTTTACCAAAACCCACCCGCAAAAATACATCAATCTGACCATTCTCAGCCTAAACACAACACATCGCATATATTTCTAATCCCCCAGCCAATCTTCTTCTTCCAACAACACAACTAATCCGCCAATTGCCATAGCATATATTTCAACTCATCAATCTCCAGGAGAACCTCTTGATCATTGACAAAAAAAATATGTGAAACCTTTTTTTTTTTTTTTTTTTTTTGTCGGTGGTGATCGGTTGAAGGAAGCGGAATTAACAACAGCACTTGGAAGAACGATGGTTATTGCGGATTGGCGTGTAACGGTCGATCGTCGTTTTTATTCCACATTGCACCTAATCCTTCTTCAATTTCAAATAAACTGATAATACTTGTTCAATTTCAACAACTTCCTATAACTTACTTTTATTTGACTTCCAATAAATTCTTTTCAAACAAAAAAAAAAAAAAACTCCAGTACATCACTACCCGGAAGAGCAGACATTACCAAGCCTGAATGTTTGGGCTTTGTTTATGGAGCGTAAGAAACCTTGCACAGTTTCAGTGGACATTGATTTGGGCTCAGAGGCCCAAGAAAACCGAATCCTGAGCAATAAATCTGGAGGATCGGATCTCCTTTGATTTTGTTCTGTACCCAATGCCATGTCCGTTGCAGCAGAAAGTCGCAAACCAATTGCAAGTATGCACTTTCAGACAGCTGAAACAAATTCACGCCATCATTGTCACCTCGTCCCTCCACCAAAACCCCCAAATTCGATTGAAATTCTTTAGGCGAAGCACGGAATTTGGAGACATGGACTACCCCAGTCTCATTTTCTCCCAAATGGGTGGCTTTCTTATCAAAGACATCACTCTTTGGAACGCTATGATCAGAGGCTATGCCTATAATGGTCCCCAGCGGGATTCCATATCAATGTTTGATGAAATGCCTCACAGAGGACTTAAACCCAATAAATTCACGTACCCATATGTTTTGAACTCTTGCACTCGACTGGGTTTGTTTAGATTAGGCCAAAAAGTGCACTGTCAGATTATAAAGACTGGGTTCCAGCTCGTGCTTTCGGCTGCTCATGCTCTTTTTAGTTTCTATGCAGATACATGTGATTCTTCTGATATGGGTTTTCCGAAAAAAGAAATGTTAAATAATGCTAGGAGGACTTTATACGGAATTTGTGGGGTTCCAGTAGAATTGTGCAACAGATTCATTTCTGGGTGTGTGAAATTTGGTGACGTTAAATGTGCGAGAGAGTTCTTTGATCAGATGAGTGAAAGGGATGTCGTTTCATGGAATTCGATGATTTCAGGTTATGCTAAAACTGGGGACGTAGCAAATGCGAGAGGTTTATTTAGGCAGATGCCAGAGAAGAATGTGGTGTCCTGGACTACAATGATCAAGGCATATGCTGCTGCTGGAGATCTCCAAACAGCAAGAAAGATTTTCGAGATGATGCCCGAGAAGAATCTGATTTCTTGGAACTGTATGATTTCGAGCTACGCACAGAATAAACAATTTCAGGATGCACTGCGCCTCTTTGAACATATGCGTAACCAAGGTGTGGCAGCAGATGGATTTACATTTGTTTCAGCTCTCTCTGCTTGTTCTCACCTAAATGCTCTGGATTCTGGCAGAATGGTGCACTCCTGTATAACAGATTGGGGTAATGCAGCTGTTATTGTTGGGACTGCCCTTGTAGAAATGTATGCCAACTGTGGAGATATTGATAAAGCATTTACAATCTTTTTTAAAACAGGGAACAAGGATGTTTTCTGTTTTAACGTTATGATCAAGTCTCTGGCTGTTCATGGAAGGGTAGAAGATGCCGTCAAAATCTTTTATTTGATGCAAGAAAGGGGATTGAAGCCAAATGACTTCACATTTACCAGTGTGTTATTTGCTTGTAGTCATGGAGGTTTTGTGGAAGAAGGCCAGAATATTTTTCATAGCATGGGTAGGCAGTTTAGGGTTAGTCCAAAGCTTGAACACTATGGTTGTCTGGTAGACTTACTGTGCCGAAGGGGCCAGCTCGAGGAAGCATTGGTTCTATTGAAGGAGATGCCCTTCAAACCTGATGTTGCTATCTGGGGTGCACTGCTTGGTGGATGCAAGTTAAGAGGCGACTTAAGGTTAGCAGAGAGTATTACAAGTCGTAATGCTGACAAGTTGGAGTCAAATGAATCAGGAGTCTATGTAACTGTATCAAATATTCATGCATCAGCAGGTCAGTGGTTGGAGGCCTTTAATGCAAGAGAAAAGATGGAGGAGCAGAACATGTGGAAGACAACAGGGATCAGCAATTTAGTAATCAATGGTGATACAGACTTGTAACAGTTGCTCAGCATTACAATGGCGTCTTCCTTTTGTGATCGGGGTGGTCCTAAGAAATTGGTTAGGATCTTGTATTGGCATCCTAATAAATTGGTTAGGTCCTAATAAATTGATGTTTTCCTTTTATTCCAAGATGTGTGTTTTAGCTTTGTTAGGATCTTGTAATTTAGAGCCTAACATTACGAGTAAAGTGGCATAGAACCAAAATCTTCACTGCAAGAGAGAAGCCCTGGTCCCCTTCGGACAAACAAAAAGACCATTGCCAAATTTTAGGGTACAAGGTCTCGGACCCTGCTGAATTGTAATGCTTGTACTTCATGGGATGATAGAAAGGAGTTTTTTGGGTTTGCCACCAAGGCACCAACATAGTTGCCGAACTTTGGAGGGCCAATTCATGGCTTACGATTAGTGTGGCGCAGGCGATGGAGGAGCCTTGTTTTAGAATCTGGTTACCAAGTGAGCCGAAATCTAGCAAGGGGTGCAGATCATGATAGCACCAAGGATTGTCTTAGAATCTGATTCCCAAGTCCCAAGTGAGTTTTTAAGCCTAATAAAGGATGCAGAGGATAACAGCCCGCAAGAACAATCTAGTTCAACAGGTGAAGCTTTGGACTCAAAAGACTTGGGAATGTTTTCTCCAACAAACAAAAAAGACAATGTCTCTGCTATTGGATGGCAAAGTTGGGTCTTAAAAGTATGCTGATCTAACATGTTTGAAGATCCGGCGGAGATTCTGAGAGAGCTCCCGAATCATGACGAAGCTGGTGTAGCAACGCCACGTTTTGTTTCTATCTAACGGGCCTCTGGCCCTCTTTTGTACCCAAATAAAGATAAAAATTGATGATACATTGCAGGATGTAGAAAATAAAATGTTACGGAAGTGCACATTATTCATCTAAAGCAGTCTTGAGCCATTATTCATCTGAAGCCACTACAAGCGGACGACCAATTGAAGTGCGCATTCAGTCCCCTCATGTTCGAAGGCTTTAGCTCTTATCCCGCACTTGGCCGGTTTGCCATTTAAAAACAACTGGTTATATTCATAACAGTTGAATGAGGCCTTCTGATACCGACGCAACATGCTCCTGCTACTGAAGTGCTGCCACTGGTTCTGGCTGATGTTAATGAATGAAAGCCAGTTACTTTTGTTTGCCCATTACTTGAAGAGTTCAGGAGTAAAGAACAGAAACAGAGAACCATAAGCAGAACAGGAGAGTAATTACAACCTTCCGAAAACAGTCGTTATGGTACTACAAATAAGCTGAATCTATTCAATACATATGGCACCTATCCGAAGACTATTTGTGGGGGTCAAAGGTGGTTACATCGAGGGACTTCCTTTCCAGGAGAGAAAAAATAAAAAGATTTTCAGATTCAACCAGGAATTTGGCGTCTGAATATCTACTCTAGCCATACTTTACAATCAGGTTAACACCAGAGGGAACTACCGTGAACCTCCACCATAATGGGTCCACTTACATCCATCAAGCACAATAACAAATATCAATAGGCAAACACAGTGAAAATACAAAACATAAAAAATGATGTCTGGAAATAGTCAAATGAAGCCCAAAGGAAACGGCCTCTTAACCAGATAGTCTTTGATTCACCATGTTATGATTTGATCAAATGCTCCTACATTACACCTAAGAAGCAGGTCCAGAGTATCTTAAAACGGGAAATGACTTAAATATCCATGAGAAAATAATAGAGTTTGGGCCCAACTGAGGATGGATCATACCATCAAGTCGGACATGCTTCAGTCACAGCAAACTGGCAACCTGCATTTCAACATGTATATCAAGGATGGATCATGTTGAACTGGAATCTAGACAGCTGTTGTGGGATAGTGGAGATCACAGGCCCATATCTCTGTCATCAATTGAAAAATAACAACTGTGAAAATTATATTAAGGCAAATCTAAAAAGGACGTGCACCTAAAGATATGTATATTTCGATACAAGCGTAACCACAAAAAACTAATTACAAAAATGAGTCAATCAGCTCCTCCGTATATGCACAGAGCTTTGATAAATTAGAAAGAAACAAGGTGGGCTCACGGTAATCCAATAGAAATGGCTTCCATACTACAATATAACTCTCTCTCTTTTATACCTGAACATTGTCGTAGAGTTCGAACAATGGAACTGCAAGAAGTTTCAAGTTCTTTGGAACAGCAAAATACTCTCTTTCGGAAAGGTGAACAAGGAAAAGCTTTTTACATTCCTGCAAAGCCAGGAATAGGTAAGCAAAATGATCACTGCAAACAAAAGACTAAGGCATAGATTAAGGAAACATGTTGTCTAAACCAACTTACCTTAGGTTTTGTTATGTGGGGAGGGCAGTATGGATACATTATCGTTTCAAAATTCGGTCTCCACCATATGGCCACACATTCACCAATCTGAAATGAAATGTTGCACATGAAGTAGGCAAATCATTCAAAAAAAATAAATAAGTACAAAGAAAGGTGAGAAAAAAAAAATCAAATATCCTAGAAGCTTGCTTCCTCAAGGACGGGTAAAGAGCAGAGAAATAAGGGCATTATGCTAAGAAGTTCTATGCATCTCTCGAGTAATGGGAGATTTCAAATGTCAAAATACTAAACTGTAGCTTGAGTCTATATTCATCTTTTACATACTTTTTGTCCTCATCTCTGGGCAACCTCTAATGCAAATTTGGCAGTGTTTCCCACACACTGATCTTGAACAATATACTAATTTAAAGACTTAAGAACAGCCTCATAGACAATCAAGTAGGTCAGGAACAAAAAGGGAAAATGAAGGAACAAATACCTGCCAATCTGGCTGAAGAGCCGCTGAATTAGCAGCAAGTTTGCTCGACAGTTTCCGTTTCAAGCCCTCGATTTCTGCAATTTTAACAATAAGCATGAATGAAGTTTCAATAGTCCTCTATGGCATGTCCATTTCAGAATATTGTCCATCATCTCTAAGAGTTAGACTTGCATTGCACATTAACAAGTTGAAGTTCAATAAAGTAACAATTAATGGTACTGTTCAGTACCAGCAGGGGTGCTTCTAAGACTTTAGCTCAAAAGAACTAGATGTTCTTTTCCATTTCTCCCGGTACTGTTTCAAAACCATTTAAATAGACAAGAAGAAGGGTCTATCATCATTGCTCAGAGCGACAAAAATTGCTATAAAAAATAATATAGACAGATAAAAAACAATCATTTTAATAATACTACTATATCGGTTACACAATTTTGTTGGGGGTACATTAAAGGATTAAAGGCTCATTAATTGTCATTATACACTTGAGAAAAAATGGAAGAAGAAGAAGCTAAAGGCTAATACCATTCTCTCCAGGCTTCAACCGCCCACCAGGAAGTTTGCAGAAAGTATTACCAATTTGAAGAAGAAGAATGTGTGGATGATTGTGCTCCTGGACCTGTTAGTCACAACCATCAAAAGCTATTATTTAACATAACAATATGGTTTACGTATCAAAAATAACTACCAATTCATAGGGATTCTCATCATTAAAGTACAAAAAAATGGGCACAACAAATCATACCAAGTATTCGTTGGCATCGAAAGTCAGTAAAAGCAGCACAGGTTGTAATAATGTCAAACTTTTACCCAGAATATCAATCATCCTATGCAATAAAGACAACACCAACCAGTACTTTATACAGCATGAGTTCTTTTTTTTTTTTGCTTTGGTTTTTTTTTCCCCTTTTTTCTTTTTTTTTTTGGGGGGGGGGGGTGGGGGTTGGAGGGTTTGTTTACGAGTTTCAAAGGAAAAAAAGGTACATAAACAAGATATTGGACGGTAGACGTTTTACATGCATTGAATTCAGCAGAAAAGGAGCATTATAGTTAGTTCACAGAGGAGCACATTCAACTTGAAGAGTCAAGGAATGGAATTTGTTTGACAAAAAACAGAGAGAGTGGTGAAGCAGGTCAAACAGCAATATTTTTGACACAATCATACACCGCATGATACTGGAAGAAGCAGGTCAACAGATTACCACAAAAAGTACAACATGAAAAAAGCAACTTAGGAGATTAAATTCGTGGATTAGTACTAGGTTACAAATAAATTCATGCTCAAACCATATTAATGTCCATGCTATTAACATGTCTGGGTCAAAATTAAATTCAAACTTCCTAACAGTCAAACGAAAAGCTGTTTACCCGAACATATGTATTTGAAACTCGTCTATAGAGAACTCGGGACCCGACCCTATCAGGGAAAACCTAGAATGGGAAACCTCTCTTTCTCATATGATTATCCATATTATCCGATACATTTGCAAGTAAAAAGCTTAGCTATAGTAATCAGCATCAAAGATTTGCACAGTTGCTTGCAAATTGAGTAAAGCGGCAACCATTTATAACCAGAAAAGGGGAGAATTAAAAAGGCAGTACTAGTAAAAATGTTTACCAGTAAAATTCCTTCTACGCTAGTCCTCATGCCCTCCTTCATATAACTGCACCAGGAAAAAGGGAAGAAAGTAAGATGCTGGTACGTGATCTAGGGTTTTAGGCTGCATAAATAAGAATTAAGCTAAGACGAGGTTTAACTAGGGTTTTTCTTTGATAAATCGCATGAATCAAACAAAAAACAAAGGAAACGTACAAAATGGATCGGAGAAATCAGAAAGAGAGAGCAGAGACGTACTTGACTTTCATGCGAGCAAGGCGATCGGCAACGGAGGTGTCTTTCTCCATCTTCGGCTCCTTTGTCCCGAAGGTGTAACTAGAAAGCGGGTACGTGTTCACCACCGATGACGTCACCATTTTCTCTCGATCTCCCTCTATCTCTGTCTCTCTCTCCCCGTCCCCCGGCTGACAGCCCTTGCCCTGCTTTTTCCTCTTCTCTTTTGGCTCTGCAGAGATTAAAATTAGTCTACTTCTACTGACTACTGCTTAGGACATATCACAAAATCTTTTCCCTCTCCGGAATTTGCAGGCGGTGTCCTGTCGAAGCTTCTCAAAGTGCTTTGTGTCTTGGGCTTTGGGTTGGATGTCGGACCAGAATTATAATGGCCGCTTTAGTGATAACTTGGGTCCCAATACCTAAGAGGGCCTAAGCCAGACCCAGGTGGATATCATTGGCCCATACACGGGTACTGGTTCTTGAACTTATAATAGTTCAGCATATCAGTGTCTAAAACATTTTATAGGAAAAAAAAAAACTGTGAAAACCAGGGGGTTTCAGACTGATTATTGAAACTCGATGGAACAAAAAAAATCCATACAGATGGTGAAGTTTATACCATTTCCATTACAATTCCAATTCCTGAATTCCAACCAAACACCTCTGGATTTTTCTCTTAGTGATTATGATATAAAATATGTTGCAAGTCATTTGGAATAGTGAAGCTAGCTAATTCAGTATCATTATGAAAATTTTTTTTGCAACTTACCGTTATTATTTTTTTGAAATATTATATGATTTTCACGAGTTAACGATAGTTTGAAGAAAGTTATGCCAAAAAGTCACTTCAGCTTTGGAAAAAAGACAACAGCCTGTCCGGGTTGAGTGAGGTCTCTTTAGGTCTTAGTAGCAGCTCGCCTGCTTAAGGTTGTTATCCCACATCGAACGTTGGAGGGGGGGTTTGGGGTAGTTTATAAGTCTCCTCAGGAACCACAAGAGTTGCCGACTTTTGTGGTTTCCTGTGGAATTAGGTTTATAAAATGCCAAAATGTCACTTCAGCTTTGGAAAAAAGACACTTGAATTCGAATGATAAAGAAAAGCTGAGTGGAGAGTGTGGAGGGTAAAGGGCCAAATAGTTTTGGGATCAAAAAATATGACTGTTAGTCCTAATCGAATTGAGCACTTTTCCCTTTTTACTTTTTTTAATTTAACGAGGTTGAAATTGTGCATAAACTCAGTTTATTTATTTTTTAAACCTAATTTAAATAAATTTTGATCAAGTGGAGATTAAGTCAAGCTCATATAATTTGAATTTTACCATTCCATACTCAAATTTGACTATGTAACTGCTTGGGCTAGAGTCAAGAGAGCATCAAAATTTCGATGGAAACAATTCCATGTTTTTTTTTTTTTGTCGCATCTTTAGTGCCAGCAATTAATGTGCTCTTCTGCAGTGGTTATCTATTTTTTCCACTTTGTTTTCTTTTTGAGGAGTCTATCTTTCTCCTTGAACCTGAAGTAACCGAAGAAAATGCTAAACAGGAAAGAATAAGTCAGTTGTTTCTCTCGTTAGTCGTTAACCTTATAAACTGAGTATAATTAATCCTACTAAAGCACTCATTTGTATATATGTTCATGCATATCAATGTGCTTGTTACATTTAACATACTTCTGCTTTCTCAAACATCAGAATTACCTTTAGAACGAAAAATCATACTTCTGCTTTCTCAAACATCAGAGTTACCTTTAGGACAAAAAATCATATGATTCAATTCCACATTATTCTTGTCCTTGAGATTTTATTTTAACTTTTTTCCAGATAGCAACAGATAGTCGAGTTTACTCCTACTTCTACTCTAACCTACATAGGGGTGAAGAGATCCAATAGGACTAGAGAAACTGACGAGAACTGAATCACTATCGGAGTTAACGAGTGCATTGTGAACTTGTATGGATTTAAATGAAATCACATATAATAGTATATTGATGAGAGGTGAACCCTTAATCCTTTATCCCCCATAAAGATTTAAAGTTTATGATGGTGGCCAACCGTCCAAAAGGCCGTTGGTCATGATGCTGTTAATGTATTGGAAAAAATCACCTAAGCCATGCATGTACATTGTAGTATTTCTTTTTTTTAATTACCAGCCACATCGCATAAAAAGTCATAGACATATTATTGTTTGAAGGAAAATACTGTATTTATAGCGGGTATTTTATGAAGCCAGAATTAATAAAATGGATCCTAGTCCATTATAACCACTCAGTGAAAAAGAAGGCAACAATTGCATCAAATTCCTGTTAGCTGGCACGCTTGTCACCGTGATGCTGCTGAAATTTGGGGAGATTTTTTCATTTCAACGAGCAAGCGTACGTAGAGCTTCTTGTGGGATTGTGCTAATTAATGTGCATGAAACTTATACCGGGCGGGGGGGAGGTTTCATTGTAAGTTGGAAGCATTTGTTTGGATCAAAGTATAGATCACCGTACATTGCTAATAAAGAATCAGGCATGTATGGAGTCTGGATCAATATAATATTGTTGTCAAGTATATTGGTAGAAGGAAATGAGCACGTAAAATGCATCAAGAATTAAGGCTATATATATATATATGCAGCATAAAAATCATCACGAAGACAATATACATAGCACGATATACCCCTCAAGACTTGCTGAGTTTGATATAAATATTCTACTACAAAATTCTGTCAGTGATATATGTATACACTCAACACGGTTTTCTTTGCTTGTTCCAATAAATTCAAAGCACAAAAACATCGAAAGGAGCATACAAAAACATCGCATTAGCATCTTGTGTGAGAAGTAATTAGCGGACGTTAGAAACACGAGTCAACTCGTAGGAGTAATGCTCTATGAGAAGAATCACCTTACTATTGGCTTATTCTTCTTCTGCTACCGCTAAAAACTTGCAGGACCCCGTCTGAGCCGCCGGCGACGAGCGTGCATTGGTCTTCTCCCATTTGCCTCCAGCATACGCTGCTCACAAACCCCGCACCTGTAGGCTCGCAACATTCCCACCCGGAATATTCAGCTCGACCTGGAGCCGGAGCTCCAGCAGAGGATGGCTCGAATCTCTTGACCCAAATGGGCGAGCCCCATCTCTTATCGTAGACAACAACTTGATTGTCCTCGGAGCCACAGCTAAGCAGGCCGCCGCCCCTCCAAACGGATAACCCGACGAATCTCCTGGCGTTGACGTGTCCCGTGTACGTCCGAATAAGCCGATGATCTGCAGTGTGCCACGTCTTCAAGCACCCATCAATGCCGGCTGTCACCATTGTGTGGCGATCCAGGAACCTGATGTAGGTCACGGATCTCTGATGCCCGTCTAAAACCAGGACCGGGTCCCCCATCCTCCTCACATCGTAACCGTACACCCTTCGGTCAGCACATCCTGCGGCGACCAGGCAGCCACCGAATGGATTGAATTCCACGCAACACACTGGGCTCCTCCCCGCGCTGGGCTGCACCACGCCCAAGCACTCCCCTCCCTCGCACCGTGGGTCCCACACCTGCATGGTGCCATCGTCCGACCCTGACGCACCCACCACTGGAGCACAGGGGGAGTAGTCCATGCTCCATACCCGCCTGCCCCCATGTTCGTCCCGCTCGAACACCGGCAACCTTCTCTCCAGGTCATACTCCATTACTACCCCGTCGTAGTCCGCCGACCCCAGCACACCTCCGCCCGACCCCGGTTTCCACCGGAGGCTGCTAAGCTTAGCCGGGGTACAAATGTAGAAGTCGCATGCATTGGCGTGGTCTAGCACGGCCGTCGCAACTTGTTCATGCGACGAACTTAATCCTTCGTGGGGCAACAAAGACGCGGTGCGGTATATACGGATTTTTCTTGAGATGCCGCCGGTGGCCAATAACCGATCACAAGGGTCAAATTCTATGACTCCCAGCGTATCGGAAGCAGCTCCGCCGATCGAGGAGGAGGAGCTGGAAGAAGAAACAACGGTGGCGAGATTGAAATCCCACTCGCACCTGGCTTCACTATCATCCTCCACTTCATGTAAATGATTTTCGACGTCGTCTTGTTCTTTTCTTTCTTTTTCTTCTTCTTGTCTTGATCCTGGGGTTCGGGGATTGGGCAGCTGTCGTTGGTTTTGGAGGGGAGAGCGGTGGGATGACAAGTTTTTCATTTCCCATTCATATGAATGAGTGATTGAGATCTTTGAATGTTGGTCTTGTGGTGGAAGTGTTGTTGGACTTTTTCATTTGCAGTTCGCAGCCAATCAAAATCATCCTGTGGGATTCTTCTTGCTTAGGTTTCAGGCTGCTGCAATGATCAGGGTGGGTATTAAGAAGGATAAGATAGTCTGCTTGCATATTTCATTTTCGTCCACCTTCTCATGAAAATACCAGCCGCTGTTCTTCTGTTCTAATGACCCTTTTCTACCGAATGCATTTACAATACTGCCATTTTCAGACATTCTTTTGTTGCCAATTTTGTGGCCCAAAACTCGAAATATGTTTTGTTAATATGTTACACGCATCTCTCCACATCATCTTTGTAGCGACAACAATGTGATATGTAACCACCGAGCTTTGATTCAGTCGCCATAAAACAGGAACTAAGGTCGATAGAGGTTCGAACCGTATCTATAATGAAAAAATTTTAATAAAATATCATAACATTTCTTTGATCTAATAGGTTATTATACCTCTTAATCGTTTATATATAGTCTCTTTAAACTCCCCTCCCTCTCTAAATTATGATAGATTATGTACCCTTATATAAATTTCTTTAGGCTATTTGGGCTCTCCTCTCCCTTAGATTATGATAGATTGGATTATAAAAATGTTATCATTACCGTAAAAAAAAAAAAAAAGACAACAATGTGATTTGTCCGGACAGAAGAAGATCAGATATATGATGATCAAGATTCAAGAGCCAAACTATGCAACTCCAATTACGGCTGTTAAATGAATAAACTTTCTTTTTTTTTTTTTGAAAAAGAATGAATACATTTATTCGATAGCATACATCACTTCGGCGGAAGTGTGAAATTAAAACTATGCAAAGCCCAATTAAGCCTGTTAATTTGGTCATACCGTTCAAAACCGGAAATGTCTTCAAAACCTACAAATATTTTCTTGGTGTAAGTATGAAATTAAATATGGAAATTATGGCACATTTTGTGGTTGACTAAAATTGGCGGGGGGTGTATGTAGGCATGGCCATGGTTCCACTTGGAACCGGGAACCGGACCGGAACCGAACCGTTTGGAACCGGACCAGAACCGGAACCAGAACCGTGGAACCAGAAC